ACAATGGTAGTATGATGCTCTGTAAACAGATGTGACTAACCTTAAGTTTGCCAGCTTTGCTACAACAAAATGAAGCCAAGATTACCGTTCAAATGGTGGAAAGCAATTGTGAAATGGACTTCAGACTTCTACTTATAAAGAACTCTTAAGAACATTGTATACCATAGAAAACCAGCGACGCTGGTAGTCCTTCAAGAGCAAATAGAAATGGCATGTGCTGCAATCATCGAGGACATTATCGCAAACATTGCTTGAACAGTAGTTTAACATACTCAGAACCATAAATGCCCAAAAACATTCCGAATGATGAATATACCCTACCTGGGAGCCTTTATGGTGAGCATTTCCATACATGCGGAGAAGTCATGCGTCTACCCTGCCTGTGGCAGATCCAGTAGTAGTAAGGAACACGCTCCCCCCAAGCCAACAATTCTTTGTAATTTTACTCAATTTATTGAAAATAATTACCCAAAACAGTATTCCCATTATCATACATTTACATTACATCATACATCACTCATACATTTTTTTTTTTTAATTTCAAGCCAACAGAGTCTCCTATCTGATCAGCAGAGCCTTCAAGCACCTGAAGCTTCAACATTTCCACACAGCAATGATTAGCAATAATCATCTTAGACTTTATAATTACAATTACTTACTATTATAATTAGGTTTAGGCCAATAATCAAATTTGGTCACTGCATCTGGGCACCGTACTTCACCCAGGACCTGGCTCTCATTGATAGAGTTCTGAAAAAATCCTTGAGATACGTTCCTGCCCTGAGACATCTGTCATACCTGAGAGAACTGAAACACTCCACCTGACAACAGCTAATGACCGGATTTTCAAGGGCGATCTCATTTATACATACAAAATACTTAACGGTCACTACAAGTGCCCAGGTTTAAATGATTTTTTCCTTCACAATATCATCTTTCACCTTAGAGTCACAATTATTGAACATCAAAATTGAACAAAGACATTTTTTTGTGCAATCCATTCCTATAAGTTTTTCCTGTTCAAGAGAGCTGTTGATCACTGGAATTACCTTCCTGCTGCTGTTGTCAATGCTCCCAGCATTTACATATTTAAACAGCATTTGAATTTTAAGCTGTTCTCTCTTCATTATCATCTACCATCTTTTCTTTTTTTTAACCCCTCTTCTTTTTTTTCGTTTTTCTTTTCAATTTACCAAATTGTTAATTTATATTTTAAATTCCATATTTCTTTCTCACGTGTATCTTTGATTTATCATGAACAATATCAGGATTGTCCTGTTTATGTATTTAGTAAATAAATAACAATTAAAAATATATTTAGAAGATTTTAATGGGTTGTTCGAATTGAAATTACTTCCCCGCCCCTAAATTACTTTCTGGATTCACCTCAATGGCTACCTGCCACGTCAGCTTAGCAGCCAATCCATGCCACCATTCTCTACCTAGCCTGTTGTCACTTTGCCATCCCCGGGTACAGACTCCACAGATCCTGCCCTGCCTCCTTACACCCCATGTGTGTAGAACCTGCACCTTGGCCAGGCCCCACTGACATTTGACTCACGATTCTCCCGGAGTAGAAGGAAAGCTTTCATTGCTCACCACAGAGCACAGCACAGAACAGTTCAAACACTTGCAGCCATTTTAAAATTGCATTTTGTTTAGAATAAATTGTTAACATTTATAACTAAAATATTTGTGATTGAAGTAGTTCCTCCATGCTTGTGAACCTTCAAAGAAAGATCATTTCTTATATTTTAAAAATTTCTTAAAATTTATAAATTATATAGAGAAACCGGCTTCAACAGCCACCTTCATTAAGTGGTCACCTCCATTAATGGCCATTTTTCCCAGGAACCAATTGATTTCTCTATAATACACATGAAAAGGTTTCCTCTTTTACGTGGATACTTGGCTGACATCAACAGCCAGGCACATTTTGTAGATTAATCTTTATTACACGGACATCTCAAGATATTTTGTACTATATTATACTAAGAAGCAGAAAAGTTGTTTAGATTACAGCTGATTCATCATAAATTTTTTGAGCACATAATCTATGTATTAATAGTAAGCATGATTTCTCTGTACATTTCAAGGGAACAATCAGCTGAACAGAGTGATCAAAAAATCTTCCTGCTTCAGAACACACAGTCATATTTCTTCCAACAGTGACATCCAGAGCTCTTATCTTGCAGGGAAATTAATTTCTGTTTCATATATCAATAGATATTTTTAACAAACATATCCAACAGAAACAACATATTTACCTCGACCATTTCACAGAAATCCTAAGGTTTGCTTTCATTCTGTGAAAATCTGGTAAGGACTCACAATGCACGCCAGAAATTTGATCTGAAGGTTATTTGGTGACTCAGACAGCCCTGCTTGCAATTCAGTAACTGCTATGTTGATATGTGAGGATTGGATAAATGTTAAAAGGGAGCATGAATGATTAAAGGAATAGAATATTCAAATACCAAAAGGTAGAACAATAAATTTTCAATTACTTTATACATTGAAAGGTATATACAAAATTATAACTGCATTCTTATATAAAATGAATCATTGATGGTCTATGTGACACTGATGTATGACAGTGGTATACTCAGGAAATTTAAAGGAAATCAAAAACTCTTTCTTTACAACACAACATTTTTATTTTTCATCAAATTGGACTAAAAAACGTTTTGCAACTCAATATGGTTGCACCATCAGGTAGTATGAAATTAACGTAGATATACAAGAAATAAAACTATTCCCTTAATTATTAGATTTACAGTAGAAATGTAGAAGCAAATGAAAGATTTAGGAATTAAATTGATATTTAGGTACAGCGTAATGTAGCACCAAGATATAAATTTTATTTAAATTACAAGTTGAATACTAACAGTTTAAAACAAGAATAATATAATAAAAGCATTGATGTATATATTCATATGTAAGTATGAAGCCCAAGTCTTAACTCTGTCAAAAAGCCAAAAATACTCCTATATATAATCCTACTTGACTCAGAAGGCATCAACTAAAACACATGACTAGTAAAAACAAAATTAGAGATCCAGCGAGCCACTTCAACAGGTCAACCTCCATGGTCGGAATCAGATAGCTAAACGAAGGGCCATGACATTTAATGGGGGTTAGGGGTTAAAAAGAGCAAAGGGGAAGGGGGAAAGTAAGACAAACAATTTTTTTTTTGTTTTTTTTTTTTGGCATAGGTAAGACATATGTTTCATACTTATATATGAATTTATACATCAATGCTTTCGTTGTATTTTTTCTTTTTTTCAACTGTTTGTATTCAACTTTTGTTTAAAGAAATTGAATTTTATGTTTGAGTTGTACAGTATTCAGCACTCGGATATCGTTTTAATTCCTAAATTTTTCATTTGCCATGGCATTTTTATTTTAAATTTAATAATTAAAGGAATGGTTTTATTTCTTATATCTGTATGTTCATTTCAGACTACCTGCTGCCATATCGAGTTGTGAAATGTCATGTTTCAGTCAAATTTATTGAAGAATAAACATTATCTGTTTTAAAGAAAATGTTTGATTGTCTTTAAATATCCTGAGGATACTACTGCCCTATACATTTGTATTATTCATGAAGTTTTACACATAAAGAGTTTTTATACTCCAGGTACACAAGCCCAAACTGAAATCACTAGCCAAGAAATAAAATATTTCTACAAAGGGAACCTAACGTTGTCAAAGTCTATTGACAAAACACATGAGGATGGTACATGGTCAGGAAGACTGTCTAGCATATCTTGCATTCTGAAACCTCGTGTACTTGTTGCAACATTAAAAGTATCAATTGGCCAATGTACATTAATGTAATAAATATGGAAATGTCAGCAGAGAGAAAAGCAATTTGCCACAAGGGTATGTTGATTTTGTTTTTGTACTATTAGCATTGGTATCTTCTGAAGAATGTCTTACACAACCTTAAAAGTAAATCGCAATATCCTAGAATAAAAATAATCCAAAAGAAATCTGACTTCATTCTGTCTCATTTTGGCAATATACAGTAAAACTCCATTTATATGTTTTGTAATTGTACATTTCTCATTGTTATGCACTGTTGTTTACAAGTCCCAGTAAATTCCTATACTTCCCATGTTAAATTATTTCAGATATGCATGTTTATTCGTTTTTCACACTTATACATCTATAATACGTCCTGACTACATCCGTAATGAAATTCCTATTACATCATTGTAGTACATACAGAAATTCCCTTATGTCATCCTAGAGGAGGCCAAGGAATCTTGTTTGGTTCAGTGTTCAACTTGTTTAGTTTTTTGGGAGGGAAGGGCAGTCAGCCTTCCTTTATAGCCTGATACGAACTAAGGAGGCTAAACAAAACTCTATGTGGCAAGGATAATGATGCTAGCATCAAAAGTGCCCACCATTCTCTATGGCTTTGGGAAATATTCACATCTCGCCCGGTACAACTTTGGGAAATGTTCGTCTGTCATTTGGTATGACTTAGCGAAATGTTTGCGTGTTGAACGGTCTGCCTTCGTAAAGTGATTGTGCTGCGTGGTATGGCTTTGCAAAATGTTCGCATATTGACCGGTATGGCTTCGCAAAAGGTTTGTCAACATTCCACAGTAAACATCTAGCTTAATTGAATGAATTATGAGTGAATCAAGAAATTTGGGAGATTATGGGATAGTTGCCATATTTTGTGGGAGAAATTTATACTTTAGGTGCAGAGAAAAGCTAATGTTCTGAGATCAGACTCTTTCCAAAAGAGAACTTTCTTTCTTGAAAATGTTATATATTGAGAACATTATATGCATGTTATTTTGTAACACAATAGTATTGTCAAAATATCGAGATTTTATTTTTCACCTACATTTTTCTCTTTTTCCATCATGAGTTTTTCTCACTTATACATTTTCCCCTTCAGTCCCCTGAGAAACATATAAATGAAATTTTACTGTCTTTCAGTCACTCATAAATACAATAAATATTACAGAAAGATTACATACCACGTCAGCCAACATATAGTAAGGCAGGCCCTCCATAAAGTAACGTTCAGGAGGACTGTTTACAACTGTGCCATGCTGAGGTTCAATCCAACATTCAGTTATAATTTGAAGTTCTCCCTCATTTTCTTGGTCATTTCGAGCATTACGGTCATCTGTGGTAGCATCATCATCTTCATCATCATCAGTGCAACTGAGATAAAAGGAATTTTATTACAAGAGCAATTTTTATGACATTTGAATAATGTACAAATAATAAAGGTGACATGTTGTATAAGCATATTTAATTTCTGCCTCATTTTGCATACACGTTTCTAATTAATAAGTAGGATACTTTGATGTCTTGACTAAAAATGCAAAAATCAAATAACTATCTAAATAAGAAGGTCTGAGGTAGAAATAAATCAGATACAGATGTCATATGCTTACAATAGTTACAAATGAAATGACACACACTATCATTTATATTTTCTTTAAAATTGTTTCAGTTAACAATTTCTTCTTTGTATTACTTTATTTTCAGTTCAGTAGACATTCTAGTAATTTTTAAATTATAATCTAGTGCAATTGCTACATGCAATTCAAAGTGTAAATAATTATTACTATTATTGTTACTGAGAAAAAATGTACCTTTCTCTTGCACTAGTAGATGTTGTATGTGGAGGAAACAAAACATATTGAATGACACAAGGAAATATTCCAGTTTCTTCCTCATCTGTCTCGCTTGGTACATCAGGTATGTCAGTCCCTCCCTAATTCACAAACAAAACCACTAAGTAAATGAAAATGGTCATATGGAACTTAACCTAAAACAGGAATATTTATAATGAGAATATAATGGAACAAGAGGGAAAAATTTAAATGCATGAAATTGTTAGTACTAATTTAATTCAATATATTTCATACAATTCAAAAAATCTTAAATATGATATAACAGTTTTAGTATACTGACTCACCTTCATTTGTACTTCCAAAACCATATTAATGATCCCTGAAGTGGAATGTGCAAAGTTAAAACCTTCCTGAAGTCTCATTCTGAAAAGAAATCAATTCTTCACAATTTACTTCTTTTAGTCTGAAATACATCCAACTTACAATTTATTAGTATTGTGTATGAATTCTAATAAGTTTATATTCAAAATGATTGGTTTAATTTATACGCATCCTTTGCCCTAAGAATACCAAGACACTATGGAATCTAATCACTGTACAAAGAATTGCCACAACATTCTCACAACAAACAATGCTGAATCTTACAAGAAAATAATGAACTATATGAAAATAAAATAATTTTTTGCAACTTGTCTGTTCTAAATTTGTCAATATGTATGAAAAACATTGTGTGACTACACATGTCATTTTTCTTTAAAAGCTGTTTGAGAATATTATTTCACATGCACATACACAATTATAGAAAATAAGTTAAATAATAGTACAATATTTTCTACCAATTGAAATTTGTATCCACTAATCCCAAAAATTGGGTTACATTGAAAAAGTTTTTACATTTATCCAATAAAACCTCATTTTAATTTATGATCCCATTTTGTACACTTTTTACAATCAAATTAATGCAATTGACCATACTTAGTTATTGTGGAGAGAATACGAGCAACAGCAGGAATTCCCAATGAAGCCTCCGCACTGTCCTGAGCGGCCCATATCCAACGCCGATGATGAAGATATCTGGACAAAGTTGTTAACAGGCCACTTCCCGCACTCGAATTGGGTCCTGCCATTCCATATGCAGATATAATATGATGCTTATTGATACAAATGGGCTGAGTTCCGTCAGGAAAAACAACTGTTCCAAAATCTGAAGGCATACGCTCATACCTAAAAAAGGACAATTCAGTTTTCCATCATTAGCATCTGAAGAGAATTAAGAACTTTTTGGTTGGGCTATAAATTCACAATAATCAGATTATTTGATCTAAGAGTATTGTTGTTTTTTTACATAGAAAAAAAAGATGCTATCTACAAATTAAACAAAGGTTGTGAAGATTACTGACATGAGAACACTTTTCATCATTGAAAACATAATTAGAAAGAGATTCTGATTACAGTAACATATTTCACATAATTTGCTTTAAAATTAATGAACCATATTCATTATAAATTATAATTATGGATCCTACATTTTGAATATCAACAAAAAATATTAGTTAAATATTAGTAAAGATTACCTTATAAGAATCTTCTCAACAGGTTTCCTGAGCAAAATACAACAAGAAATGTCAGACCAAGTTCGCAAAACAGGCGAGTGACCATTCTGTCCTGCAGTGCGCGATGGAGATGATGGTTTGATAACAGACACCTTTCTAGGTAACGATTCTTTATTTGAAGGCCTTGGAGGTAATTTCAGTGAAGCAATGTGTTTCTTCAATTCCTGTATAACCTATCAATGTAGAAAGAAAAAAAACAAGAAACTGGAAGTTAAGTAACTCATAGTAAATTATTTTAATTTTACATCTGAATATACATATACTAAAAATTTCAGTAAACCATATTGAGAAATCTTAAACAAATCTTTTAATTTATTCTTTCCTTTCTACTCAACAGTCAATAAATACATCTAATATACTTTCAATACCAGATTTACACATTAGTGACTTTATAGTGGAGCTGAACATACCTCATAACGCAATAATCCAGAGGTACCACCCAAAAAGGCCATGTTAATTACCACACACGGAGGTTTGGAAGTTACACGGATGATATAAAATGACATAGGTGGTTTGTCAGCATCACTGTAATGTAATTTTTAACACAATTAATTACTAATACTGATATTATGCAAAAACTTAGTGCACTGATACAAAGATTGTTCTTCGTTCCTAATTTTAGCAGACAATAGGCTAAAAGTTTGCATTCTTCTCAACAAATAACATGAGGATTTAAAAGCCTAGTATTGAAGTGTCTTGATACTGCAATAAGAACACTACTGTTTATGTGTTAAATTGCAATTTCTGTCCTGTCAGAAAACATGATATCTTGTCAGATTCAATTGACAATTATTAAATCACTACGTAGTCAAATTTCAGTGTGAACAATGCTATTAATATTTGTAACTCTTAACTTTCCTTTCATTCTGGTTTGTTGTCACATGTAGTACTAGCATAGGACTTACTTAGGATTACTATTGATGAAGCTTACAATATTTTTACGAACACTTTCCTGCTGACTTCAGCAAACAGATTACGATATTCATTCATCAGAATGTTAGTAATATCAGATTGAAATTTCAAAGTACCTCTTAGTGATGTCATCTTTTACAAAATTTAAAAAGCAATATCTTTGTTATTGAAGGTAACTCTAAGACAAGATGATCTAAGAATGATCTTTGTCTTTAGGTGGGATACTTGTAATTTATAGAGGCAAGATATCTGGAAATTCAAGATGGGCCAAAATTTCTTGTGAATCTCATCATGTTCTATTCTATCTGATAAATATATATTCATAGGTTCTTAGATATCCTAGAGAATGGAGTTTTGCATTTCATTTCCTAAGAAAAATTTAACCATAAATATCTTATATGTCAAGCCTCTTATTTAGTGTGGGATCTTTATCCTCAGCAATTTATAATTTGCACATATTATTTCTTTTCAAAAACGGTACATTATGTCAATTTCCTTACAATAATGTTAATTAATAATATTTTTCTTCATATCCATATGATAAAGAAACATTCCAAATGCAGAAAACAAGTTGCTGAATAGCTACTAACCTTGGTATTAACTTCACATATGTGTGGTTTTCAATGAGAACAAAGGTGCTCCAATCTTTGAGTAAAGAATTCAGAGCCGCAGCTGCTTGTCTGCATTGCACCACTTGAAAACGACCACTAGTATTTGGTAAATGTAAGTGTCTTGGCAAAGGATGATCATGAAGCAACACTAGACCAAGTCTTTCAGTATGAAGCCATTTCTGCCAAATTGCTGGTTCTAATGTACACACAGGAAGCCAGAACTGAGCAAATTGAGAACTAGTCATATCGCTGAAAAAATCAAAAGAAGAGAAAAAATTGATTTAATCTGATTTTATTGAAACACATCATTGTCGTATTAAATTATAGCTCTTTCTTTTACGATTCGATAATAGAGCATTGATAACAATGGAGATGTATGGCAAATACATTTTTTCCGCTTAGTTTCTACCTCAAAAATAAGAAATCTTAGTCGACACTAGATCCAGGAAAAAATTTCGAGTTTTCTCACACAGGCTCCAGACATTGGGGGGGGGGCTGAGTTTCAATTTGAGGTTTGCCACCCCGAGAAATGTCGGCTGCACAAAGAAAATTCCAAAAAGCCTTAAAAATTTCACACTTTTTTCATTTATATCTGGACAACTATGTGCTTTATGGAAATGACATTTGGCAGATTCTGTTAAATCCTTGACAATGTTAGAATTCTGAAGAAAATGTTCATAACTGTCATTCCATGAGAAAGGCAATTCAGTGAAGGGAGAGTACAGAGTTACCAAGCATCATCCTCCATCATATCAAATAAGTAGCATGTCACACTGATGCTCCCGTGGGGTGTGCAGAGCTCCTAAGTTATGTTTGGAAAACTATAATTTCCATAGTATTACACTATGTGTACTAGTATACACAAAATTCAATGTGACCTTATTTGAAGATCTGTTTTTGATTTACACATTTCATTAAGAAAAAAGTTGTATCTTCATAATTGTAGTTGTGGGAAGACGCCGAAAAAATTTTGAATTTTTTCAATTGTTGAAAAATCAGGGTTTTCAACCAACATGAACCTGCACCATTTTCTAACACGTCCTTAAGACTACATAACCAAATTTCATCAAAAACAATGGAGCCGTTTTTGAGAAAAACTAAACAAAAATTAAAAATTGCCTATATCTCACACAAAATTACACGAAAAGTACTCATATTTTCAAAAAATTGTGCATGACCTTACTTCAAAATCTATCTGTAAGAAACAGATATATTAACGGAAAAATCTCATTCTTTAATATTTTAGTAGAAGGAAGGCGCCAAAAAAATTTTGAATTTTCGTAAAATCAGAGTTTTCAACCAACATGAGACTTGCGCCACTCTCCAACAACAAAATTTAATTAAAATCGATGGGGTCTTTTGAAAATTTTGAAAAATTCCCAGGGTACCCCCCAAAATTTAAATATCTGTTTCAAATGCAAGAAGCCACGACATCAGCCAGATCGATCCCGGAATATCAATTTTGGAGAAAATCAGCTGAACAGTTTAGTCGCTAGCGTTCTTAACAGACAGACTTTCGCTGCCAATCAACTTTTCCGTATCAAGGACACGCAAAGCTGGGATTGTCGCTACACCATGTGTTACAGGATTGCGCCTCCCCCTAAATTTAACAACTGGATTTATCCTGTTCCATTCACCTGTGCCAGTTTTAAGAGTATTTCGCTCTACAAAAAAGTAGTCATATTTTGAAAACGTTTAAGAATATTTTGAAAACGTTGGGGCTTCAAGTAATGTACCCCAAAAATCAAAATCACCGTTACAGACTCGCAGGGCATCGAGTTTGGCCAGCTCGATCGGGGAATACTAATTTTGAAGAGAATTATCTCAACGGTTTAGACGCAAGCATTGACCACAGACGTTTCGCTACCAACCATTTTTTCAGTATTAAGAACCCACAAAACATTGAATTGAATTGAATTGAATTGAATTGAATTTATTCCTTATTTTACGTGGAGAGACTCGGGCCATCAGGCCTGCTCTTCTGTTTCAGGCCCGCTTTGCCGTTGGATTGTATTCTGACTACACGTGTTGACTACAATTTCATATTGAATAAATTTATTTTTTCAAATATTTTTTTTTTTACATACACACACGCATGTGTGCGCACACACACACCCATACACACACATACACACAAATATTTACTTATGTTTCAAACTGTCCCAATAAATTATTGAAATCTTTGGAAGTTACTGATTGAACTACTAAATAATTAAAGTGGAATATGTTCAGGTTTGTCATACAGTTAAACATTAAATACAATGTCATACAATTAAACATTAAATTAGGCAAATGTTTTGAATTTTTTAAAAGAACTTTCCATGATTCTCAACCAACAAAAACACAAGCAGGAAGAAACAAAATTTGGACAAACAAGAAGATTGGTAACTAATTTTTAAAATACCTGGAAGACAAAACAGGAACACTTGAGTTGAGGGGCAAGTAAAACACAGGCATACCACTCCGAATGCCTTCAGGTACAGTGTAGGATGCTGGATTAGTATGAAATGAATTTAGATGAACAAGCAACTGGTCTGACTGATTTAAATTTTTTAAAGTTGCCCAGAATCTTGACACCACAGCCTGCCGATATGGAGATTTAAAAGGCTTCTTCAATAAGCATGTAATATCATGCAAAAATTCATAAGGAGCTGAAACATATTTTTTTCTTATTGTTAATCATTCATTTAATTTATTCTTTTTAATGTAAGGAAGACTTGTTAAAATTGGTAATTATTAGGGAGCGGATTTTAATAAAATGTCATTTTTTTCTTTTCACTTTAGAACAATGCTATTTAGAACACACATTTATTTCATGCTATGACAAAAGGAAATGACATATGTATATGTAATTTTTATGCATTTTTCATCCCTTTCAACTAAAAAGTCATTTTTTACCTTATTCCGTAATTATTAATGCATTTTATACCGATTTATTGACTTTAATATCATTTTAATGGTACAAGCTTCAAATTATATTTCAAGATGCAACATATGTTCTTTACAGAATTCCTGAGTAGCTCATTCAATTTCTTCGCTCATAAATTGTAATGTCAGCCGGGGTGAGTCCTACGAAATCTGTGGTTGCTGTGATGTCTATCAGTGCCATTGTAAGTTTGGTCGATTTTGCATTAAATAAAGGTAGATATTTCCTGGTAAAGAACAGTCCAAACCAGACATTTGTGAGCCAAGTTCACTTGAATGAAAGGAAAAAGCCTCAACTACATCAATAACATATCCAATAGCTTGAGTTGTTCATCTGCACTATTTTTGATCATATTTTTACGTCATTTTTCTTTGGTTTTAGAGTATTTTTAAAAATATTAAGAGCCTTATATTGATCATTTTTGGCGATGTTTTATGTCATCAAAATCCGCTCCTAGTAATTACTTATATTTATAAATTAGTAATAGGAATTACCAGAACAATGTAATTCATAATTTACATAATTTCTTGTCAAAAGGTGATGACACCTCATTAACTGTCACAAAAGATACACCTTTACTCATAGGAAAGGTACTACTTCACCACTAAGTAACATAAAACATGTAGCATTTAATGTATTTTGACCATATAACATGAATCCGATGTCAAAACCCATCATTCTAATGCCAGTGTCGAGATAAACACAAATTATGGTGTTGATTCCATATTTTTTTAAATGTTTCTAAAGTGTATTTTGCTCTACATGAAGATAAAATATAATAAAAAAATCTGGAGCCATATTGGGAAAAATGTTAAAAATATCCCCAAATCAAAATATCTAATTCAAATTCGCAGGGCCTCGAGTTTGGCTACATCTGGAATATCAATTTGAAAGAAAATCATCAGAACGGTTTACACGTTAGCATGGCGGGCAGGCGGGTTTGTATGCTGTTCCTCAGAGAACAGGGATTCACAGATAAGTACCACGCCACCACCATGAACACAAAGCCAGTCAACTTGATCGAACAAATAGTTGTGCGAACAAAGAGGGGATGATGGGAAAGAAGACGAGTTTCCTGAAGGCATGCTATAGAAGGAACATGGCTAGAAATTATCAACTTCAATTCTTCCGAATGTACATGGATACCATGTAAGTTGCACGAGAAAGCCATGATGGGGAATTAATTGTTTCTTCTTTTACTTTCTTATCTTCTGGAAGGTGGTAGAAGAATTTGCTGCTGCCGTGGAAGGAGGCACCTGACAACTGAAGTGTGTACTATGGCGGAAGCACGTTGTGCTTGGCAATGGGCTGTTATGCTAGAGAATTTAGTATTTAGGGCAGTGGAAAAGGATCATGACAGGTCTACTGACTTTCTTGATTGATTAGTGATTTCAGGTGTGTATGAACTGCTGTTTTTAGTCTGTAAGTAAGCTTGGCATCGCCCCAGCTGGGATACGCTCTAAGCTCCCGTCTGGATGAACTCCCAACAAATGTGGTAGTGAAATGCAAGGGAGTTTAAGTGTAAGGAAGGGAGGGTGAGGATATGACAAAGAAAGGAAAGTTCGCACATAGTCGTTGGCCCGTTCGTTAGGGTACTGCTCTGGCATTTGCCTGGTATTGATCAGAGAAACTAAGGAAAACTACCGATCAGAGCAGCCATCCACCAGAATTTTTCCCACACAGCAGCTGAATTCGACCTAGCAGACAAGCTATGCGTCGAAATTCCTGCAACCGTTGAGATTCAAATCCTAGGATCTCCCGGCCAGAGGCAGTCCAGTAACATCAATTGATACCCTGAGTAACTCCTGCCCATCAGACTTACTCCACGCCGGTTGATTACAGGTGCGCCAGCCTCTGAGAACCCATCTAGAAGAGGCCAGTGACAAAGCAAGTGTCTTGTGGTACGCAGTATGGATCTTCCATCGGTCACCATGACTTGTCATGCCAGGGTTTGTCCAGTGACTGTCCAGCTAGACTGTATCTACCCTGAGTCAAGATGGCATTCATGTAAGTATGAACAGACCCCATAACCTACAGGATACCATTTCACTATGTCACGGGTCGCCATGCACGGTAAACAAACGGATGGCTGTTCAGCACACAGAGAAGGCCAGTAAGGAAGAAAAAAGAGTGATAAAAAAGTAAAACTGAGATATGAATTGAGCAAGAGGGTGGACAAGGGAAAATGAAAGCCTTCTCTGCATCCCCTCACCCAGTCCCTCTTCGACGAGAGACATTATTCGCACATTTTGAGATCACAGAAATCCACCCCAGTTATGAAGGTTGATGATGAATCCTGCAGAAACGCATGCAGCTGAATTTTGAGATGGAGAATTTGAATCCAATTTTAACATTTCATTCTTGTAATCTGTTAAGGATGAGTTGCAATTATCAATGAATATTATGTATACTCTTTGAATAGCAAAAAAGGCCAAGATTGAATTTGTATGGACAAGTTGCAAAGTGAGAGAGAACATTGGTAAAGAAGACGGGTTTCTTACACAAAGGTATAAAATGATATATGGAGATAAAATATTTACATGCATGCGAAAGCTGTTTAAATTCCATGAGAGCTACGAAGGTAATTTAGATCTTCGATTTCTTCTTTCTCATTTCCTGGTGTCTCTTCAAGGCACTCGCATTGAGTTCCTCCACAGCACTGTTGTCCTGACTGCGGTTAGAGAGTTGCTTGAGTTAAAATATTTTCCCATTTCCTGTCACAGGTGAAGCACTTTTGGGCCTGGTCTTCGGTCACAGTGAGGGATGTATTGGCGGTTAGGAGTCACTGTAGGTTTCTTTCCATTGTGTTTTGTTATGGACAGGTAGTATTTTAAAGATTTGCAAGCAAGTCTTCTGAGGATATGTGGCACACAGCAGCGCAGAGGATTACGGTTTGGCAGCTTGTTATGGTATTGGGCTGTCTTAGGGTGCTGGCAAAACTCCTGGATAGATACACAGAGTATTGGATTGGATAGTGCTGTCGTGCTTCAGGGCAGGGCAACTCTGAGATCCAGATTACCTTAATTTATCCTTCTTTTAAAAAGCATGTTTTTTTTATGGTTGGGCAGCAGTTGACACATTGCGAGTGGGTAGAATTTTTTGAATCGAGAAATTCCTTACCACAAGTCCCACAAGCCACGGACATGGACAGCTGAGGTTTCCACATCGGTGTCCCCTGAGTCAAAAACTTTAAATACCAACTGTTTAATGTAATTTACCGGTGAAGTATTACTTATTTGGGTTTATCATGCTCAGTTTTAAGGAACATGATATTATGCACAATCAAAATATTTGTGACAATCAACTATTGAAGGTATATTTAGCAATGAATTGTGTTTCAAGAAATCCCTGGACTCTGAAATGTGTGATTTTAAAATCAATTTGATAACTGAAAACAATAAATTAATTCTATAAGTTATTTACTAAATCAAGTTGTTACAAATGTGTGTCCTACACTTTGCATTTAACAATTAAAATAATACAAAATGAAATATCAAGCTAAGCATTGAATCATACCTTCAATGCAAACAGAATAATGAACAACTCCAGAACCAGTATTCTGATTTCCAGATGGTAACTGTGATGTAATAGCATACTCAATGTATACATGATTTTTCCATGGAAGGATCATACTTATTTCAATACGATTATCTGTAACTGAAATATGCTGCAAAAAAGAGAAATATGTACAACTTTAGTGTGATGTGATATTCTAACTATAGATGCTCTTTTATAACGAAAAAAACTCACTCTTATTGTGTATCCTTCTCGAAGGCGGCAGCACAATAATCGAGGTAGTGACGTAGACAGATTATCCTCCATTTGCTTCTTTCTAAGCAACAAAGGCTCCCGAATACCATAAAAACATGTATTACTGAAAAAACCACATTAGAGAATATATCAAAAATGTATCTGAATCTCAATTTTCACATACTGAAATATTTACTCAAGAAAATTATAATTCACAGTTTATTTTCCCCTATTCATTTTCATATATTAAAGGCTGAAATTTGAAAAAATAAATTATACTGCACTCAGATCTTTCATCAATGGAAAATATGTCTACACTATTATATAACTATAATATATCTCAAAATTATGTATACGAATCGATAAATAAATTGGACGATAAGAAAGGTGTTGGGCCAGATTCAATACCAGCAAGATTATTAAAATCTTGTAATACCAACTTAACACAGATTCTTCATGTACTTTTTGTAAAATATCTGAACGAAGGAACCATTCCTCCAATTTGGAAAAAAAGTTATTTAACTCCAATACATAAATCTCAGAACCGATCATATTAAAAAAATTACAGACCTTTATCCATAATGAGTGTTATTCCTAAACGTCTTGAGTCCATTATAACTAAAAAAATAACTGAAAAATTAAACAATCTCATCATAGAGAAAAAACATGCCTTCAGGCGTAATACATCTACCACCTCTAATTTATTAATCTTACAACTCTTCATTATTGATAAAATTGATAAAAATTCTCAAGTAGATGTTATATATATATATTTTGCTAAAGATTTCAACACAGTAAACCATGAATTACTTACACAAAAGTTGTCAAATTTGGGCATTCACGGTAATATTTAGAAATGGATGAAAAACTATTTGTCTGATAAAATATTGAATGTTAAATATTTATCATTCTTATCCTGCGACATACTTGTACCATCAGGAGTACCCCAAGGTTCTCACTTGGGACCCCTTTTATTTTTGTTATTTATTAATGATGTGAAATTATTTCTTTCAAATTGCATGTTTTTATTATTTGCTGATGACTTAAAAATCTATAGAGAAATTAATACCGTTAAAGATTGCAAACAACTACAGGAGTGCTTGAATAGTCTTATAAATTGGAGTAAATTGAATCAATTATAATATAAACAAGTGCAAAGTGATGAAATTCACAAAACACAGAAATATAGTCGACCATGAGTAGTCTACTGATGGAGTGACAGTCGAGTCTGTCAATAAAATAAAAGAAGATCTTGGAATTATTTTCTATCCAAATATGAGATTTGGAAGTATATAAATATATATATAAATATATTATAATATATTATATATATATATATATATCTAATATTAATTATAATTATATATATTATTTATATATATATATATATTGTAGATAAAGCTAAACATATGTTAGGATTTATTATCAGAACTGCAACTGACTTTAGAAACCCTTCTACAATTAGAACATTGTATTTAACATTAGTGCAACCAATGCTAATGTACTCTTCATAAAAATGGCCTCCTTGTTATGATGTATACAAAAAGAGAATTGAATCAGTACAACATAAATTTTTTAATTTTATTTTTACTTTTTAATTAAATTTAGTAGCTTGGTTTCTTAAATTACCATCACCAAGATTAAACCACGATTACAGCGAAATTTCACTATATCTTCAAATTAGTTCTTTTGAATCCCATAGAAAATGTCATGACATCTTATTTCTATTCAAATTATTAAATCATGATATTGACAGTAGAGAAATATTATCTTTGATCAATTGGAAAATACCATGGCGTAACCCCAGATTTCATCAAAATGACACATTTTTTTATACTGTTCGCGAGAACTAATTTAGGTTATTATTCTCTTATACAGCGTATGTGCAGAAACTATAATAACTGTGATATCAACATAAATTGTATCTCTGTTAGTCAATTTGTTTATTATACAAAGTCACATTATCTCTGGAGGAGGAGATCAAGCACTCTTGACTTAACATAACAATAACAAATTATAATGATTGAGTGATTTAGTGAATATAACCAGCACAATGAATTGTTAAGGAGCAGTGTGCAAAGAATGTAATAAACTGTTTGATGAACCAACAGCATCTGAACAATCTCTTGTTCTTTGCATTCTCATGTATTCTAATAATTCACTTGAACTTCTAGTAATTTACTGAAAAATGTGAAAGTCTAAAGAAGATCATAAACCAAAATATTGAAAATGGCTTAACATAGGTTAAGATGTTTTCTCTCTTTTACATTCAATTTTCATCCATCTTCTCAATTTGCTAGAGCATCATTAAAACCAAAAACAAATATTGAAGAAATAATGGGAATAAGCAATATTTACCTGACATGCCATTCTCCAGTTCTCTGGGGAAATCCAAAGTCGATGTCTAACTCAGTAGTATGTTTGGAAAAGTTCCATGAAAGAAAAGCTCTGTGATACATGTTCATTTGATTTTCCGAAACAGATGTCTGAAACAATAATAACCTTCAACATGAAAGTCTATTAAATTCTTTATGAAATAGTAAAATAGATCAATGATATTTATAACAGATTTTTATTACACCAAGACAGGTTTCATTATCATTCAGCTTCATAAACTGTAATGTAAATAATCAAAACATAATGGAAAACATTTACATTAAAAAAAGGAGTGTATGGCCACCACACACATTTGAAGTGAAACTCCAATGATACAGGACTGAGAAATTTGTAATGTAAAAATATATTTTTGTGCAGTAAGGATTTGTTACAAGATTCCTTTCATAACACTTCTGCACTCACTTGGTTAATGTATTAGGCATTATTATTAAACTGCAGAAGAAAAAATTAGTGCTACAATACTGCATACTTTCTCATATTATCTGAAATGGGTTACATGATATTATAACACAGCAACTTGTAGTCTATTATTAATTCAGCCTTCTCCTGAAAAACTCTCTTCATCAAAGTGTGGGAAATTTGAAAAAAATTATCTTAAACTCAAAATTATTAATTTCATATAAAAATAAATTGTTGAAATATTAATAAAAATGGCAATTCTGAAATTGAAATCACAGTGTGGTGTGATCTATCCTTACAAAATGTTTAAAGAAAAATGTTGATGATCCCTTTACGTTATTCCATTCAAAACCCTCACGAAGTAAAGACCACTGAAACAACCACAGAGAGGGTCTTAAGCAGGTGCTTATAACTCAGGTGTGGTCAATTTTTAGGCCTTAATGACTTCACAATGGACACATCACATAATAATTTTTATAGAAACGTATTACATTAATGACATAGATGTAAGCAGATATAGAAACTATCTTATTAAAAGTAATAAGCAGAAGTGATATAGAATCCTAGTATTTGTCCATTTTGTGCTCTATTATTGGTATTATGCATGCCTCAACATATAAAAGAAAATCTCTTTCTGACATTTAACTTTTTCAAATACTTTCTTTTTACAATTTTTAGATTTCAAATGTAAACAATTGCTGTGCAATTTAATCTTAGGTCTACTTAAAAAGGACTTTGAAGAGCTATAAATAGACTCTTAGATATGGTTTTAACACTTCTTAGCATTCGCATATTACTGATCATCTGACCTCATCCCATTGGGTGTGGTTGCCTTAACTTTTCGGCAGATAAGGTAGTTCAAAAATAAAGATGAAGGATCACATTCAAGGTGGTGACTGAGTAAAACATTGACCACAACTAGAGACTGGTAATGAAAAGGCTGCTAAAGAAAGAAATATTTACATGAAAATGCTTGAGATTTAGAGAAACTTCTAGAAAAGTATTTATCTCCACAATTGCATTGAATTATATTTTTTTACTGAGCAATGATTCACAAAATATCGTAAATGTCCTAAGAGTTTTGGGATCAACACATGAAAGTTGATCATTTCATTTTGGTCTTCAAAAAAGGATTAGAGTTCAGAAAAATGCCCATTGAGGTGATATTTTGTTTACACCTTTGTTTCAACATTAAAAATATGTAAGTGTAATTTTCTTCCCATATCTCCACAATTTTTGTACTTACAAAAATTATAGAAACATTTATTATAGAAAAATGTATTATCTACAAAATTGGTTATATGACTTTTTTGCACAATTAATCCTTTTTGGATTATTGCATGAAGCAAAGGTAACAATGAATTCATTTATTGCATAATTCTATATGAAGTGTGTAACTATAACGCCCCCATAATTTAATATAACAATAGTGAATTGTTCATTTACTAAAATATTTATAATTGATAAACATTTACTAATAAATAAAATTTTAACCAATTAACGTAACTTTTTATCATTATATTTTAAATGAAAAGAGTTTTACTTTTCATTCCACTCCTATGACAAAGGGTGTACTTACTCTACCATGAGAAAAACATTCCTTTTTTTCTTCTAAAAAAGTTTACATTTTCAAGACCACTGAAACGCTAGTTTTACTGAAATATAACAAGGCCAATGCTTTAATGTCTTGTTATACTCCACAACATATTGACAATTCCTTAAAATGGATCGAATACAATCAAAGGATGATCCCCAATTTTATTTCCACACACATAACTAGTATCAATTTTTTTGAAAAATTACATTACAAATTCTTCAAATAAGACAGCATGGGCTTCCAAAGCATTATGAAAATCAATGATACTGTAATGACATATCCAAAGGATTTTGATATCATGATCATTTATTGTTGAAGTAAAACAATAATTCTTTCCAACAGAAATTATCAGCATTTCCAAATAATTCTTTGAGCACTGCAAGATAATATTGTGATAAATTACAATCGTCGTTAGATTACTGGTACTATATATACCGGTACTGTCCATTATAGCTGTCAGAATTCTAAAGTTCCCATAAATGTAATATCTACTTCAAATTTTAAAATAAACAATTCAGTTACTTCATCAGGAAAAGGAGAAAGGAGAAAAGGGAAAGCTTGAAATTCACAGAAAGAATCAAGAGAAAAGAGCAGGAACACAAAAAAATGGCAAAGAAACTGTGAATGCAACTGAAAATGAAAAGGCTAAAAAACTGATTAATGAGAGGGAACATAAAAAAGTGAGAAATGAATACAAGTTAAAGGACAAATATTACATTTCCTTTAGCAAACAATTAACTCTGAAGAATAGCTTCTTTGGGCACTTACAATTTCTGGAATAGTGGTCATGTATGTGCCAAATGTTGCTGTTGCAATGAAATGCATAAGATCTGCGTAAGGTACCATTCCTTTACAGCACTGGGGATGAAACAGACTGCCAACATGAAGAAAGGAGCAGGCTACTGTATTGGTTCGTAGCTGAGTAAGTACTGAGTCAAAAACATGAACATCTGGTACAGCTATGATGCCATCAGTTAAAATGATTAAATCTGTCAACAAATAATGTATTATTTATATCAGCATTAACACAGTATTTTTACAGTAAAACTAATTTACACGTGACATGTTTAGGAACTATCAATCTTACTTGCACAACTACTTTCAGGTAATAAGCGAAGTGCCAACATTCCATATCGTAACATGTTGATGAAACCAGAGTCAGGGCTGACCATTGGGATATGAGCTGCTGGAGGAGGAACCATTTCAAAATTTTCTTCAAATAAGCCTCCCACAAGTTTTTCAGATTCAGCCTGTATCAAAACAATGTGCAAGGAAACAAATAAGCAAGTAAAAATTTAGCATTGACTGATAATGCAGCGTAATTTGGAGACAAAATTCATGAGAAGCAGTGTCACCTTGAACCGGTTGAAGCATGTATGCACTACAACAAAACATTTTCAATAAATAGTGGCAGTACTGAGTATGCAAACATGATATGAGAGAAAATATGAGAATGCATGTAATCCTAATGATGCAAGATTGAGGATAGATCATTACAGTAATCTTAGCTGCCACTTTTGTTGAATTGAAATTATGCAGTTCTGGATAATCTGTACAGGGATGCTTTCCCTGCATTATTCCCAGTCATACGGACTTACTCAAAGCAGAACCGTATGCCAGACACAGATAGATTGATTGATCAATTGACTGCCTGACTTACTGGCATTTAAGGCTGCTTCAACAGCTATCACCATTAACCATGTCAAATTAATTTTCAAACATATTATAGGTTTAATAAAAAACTGTTCCAGTTTCAACTATCACACTGATTAAAAGTACATGTTTAATTTTAAGTTTAGTCTTAAAGGTCAAAATGAAATTAAATACAAAGCACAAGACTAATGATAAAAAAAAAACTTAAAAACTAGTTGTATAGAGATCAAGTATAATATAGAAAAAAATATTCACTACCTTTCTCTCAAACAACATGGAATATTCCACATTCCCATCACAGAAAGAAAAAGAGGAATGAGAACGAGGGTTTATCACTGCCGAACACCTACCATAGCGAGATACCCAGACAATGTCAACATTGTCTGCCATCAACCTTCACAGTGTTGGATGACATATTCCTTGGAGAGAACCATTTTAAATGTGTAGCAGTTGGGCGAGGTTCATAATGTAGGAGGAAACTATGAGATACTTAGCAATGGCCAATGCAAAGATGTAATTACTTATTATATAACTTTTCAGATATGCCTTAACATCTGATGAGGTACAAGTGGGAATGTTGATAAAAAACAGGCTGACAAAACAGTCATATATAATCATTTTCTTTACATTTCTATTGTATAATTTTTCAAGATTTAATATGCTTGTAAAAAATAATGTACTTCAGCTTCCGGGTCAAAGACCCCCATCTAGATCAGGCTCTTGTCCAGTTTCCCTGATCCATTGAGCAAATAGCCCCTTCTTTTGCTTCTGGACGTAAATATAGCTTCACTAGGCGCAGGTATTGTGGAACTCTACTTGTGCTTGTAGTGGTAGAAGTAGGGGTAAGGGCGAGTTACTATTTTGTTAGCAATGCACCAAAATCAAATCTGCAGTTCGTTTACCGTTGCAAATACGTTTTCTATAACTCGTGAACGATAATATCTAGTTTTTCAAATGTTGCTAATCTCGCTCTTTTTAAAATTGAATTTTTATTTATTTATTTTCAACTTTAACTAATATTTCAACTATAGTTAAATGATGGGAAGGTATTCTGGAACTCAAGAAAACGTGCGCAGATCTCCATACGTCACATAGTTTTTACTGTGTTTTGATTAAACAAACCTAAATCTAAATCTAAATCCGCAGTATTCACCAGACATCGCTCCTTCAGACCTTCGCTTCCCGTTCGATGACACATGACCTGGTGGAATAGCAATTCCATTCTTATGAAGATGCAAAACATTTAGTTGATTCTTGCATAGACGCAAAAAGACATCGTTTTTCCGACGTAAAATTCATTTTCTGTCAGAAATTGGGAAAAAGTACTGGCTTGCGATGGGCTATACTTTGAGTGACTTGTGAATCATAAACTGTAAATAAAGCATTAATTTTCACACACACACAAAAAACAGTGATCTTATTCAAGCACCTTTTAAATTGCATTAATTTCAAGAATAAATTATGCGTAAACTATTAATTTTCCAAAAAATTGTACGTGACCTTTTTTAAAGAGCTGATGTTGAGAACAGATTTTGTTGAAGGCAAAAATCTTTATCTTCAATGTTTTAATTTTTAAATGTGTAATTTTTGCAAATTTCGAAAATACATACACTTCACAGGAAATGAAACCAGCACCACCTCTTTTACTGCCCTTTGACACGAACAAGAAGAAAATGTAACGGAAAAATTTGGAGCCGTTTTTGAAAAAATTAATAGTTCGAAAATTGCCCGTATTTCACGAAAAGTTACGCGAAAATCATATTTTCGCAAAATTGTAGATCTTATTTTAAGATGTGTTTTTAGAGAACAGATTTCATTAAGGAAAAATGATCAATCTTCAATAGTGTAGTAGAATGACGCCGAACGAAATGTGAACTATCGCAGTTCTCGAAAAAACAGTGATTTTAACATATTGAGACCGGCACCATTCTTAAAATTCATTTACGCTATCCGAGAACAATGTTTAATACCAATATGTGAGCCATTTTTTTAGAACATTTTGAAAATGTTTTTGAGTCTTCGTGTAGAGTACCCCCAAAATCAAAATATCCGTTTCAAAGTCAGAGGGCCTCGAGTTAATTTTAATCGGTCAAGATATTTTCATTTTGAAGAAAATCTGCTGAATGGTTTAGGCGCTAAGTGTTGACCACAGACAGGCGTTTTACTATCAATAGATTTTTCGATATCAACGACCCACAAAACATGGTTTCTAACTATATGTGTTAGACGAAATAATTTACTATATACAGGAACAAGAATTAATCACTTTTTCGTCACGCCAATGATAGTTTTTTCTGTCGAAATTTTGCGGTTTTCCGGCGCATGATTACAATACTTTTTCTTCTTACGAAATAAGGGCGAGAAAGTAAAATCAACAATATATATATATATATATATATATATATATATATATATATATATATATATATATATGTGTGTGTGTGTGTATGTGTGTGTGTTTTCAAAATGTATGTTTCTGAAATGTGTATATTAGTTATAAAGTTCGAGTACCATAGAATGTGCACGCCTCGTGCCTGTACTAGCTGATCAGCTCTTGTCGGGGCCAAAGCCTACTAGTGGTGTCCTAACCTTGTGGTCATGGGTTAAGGGGTAAGTGTGGTTATCTTCGCACATACACATCCCTATGCCCTTTTCTGGCCTTCTCGACCTGAGAAATGGGCTTTCTCGTCGTCACAGGGCAACAGATACCTGGACATTGCAAGGAAAGCGCATTGTATAGTCTGCGCCGACTGGGAATCGAACCCGGGATCGCGTTATGGAAAGCGAGCACGCTGACCAAAGAGCTACCCGTGGGGCAGAACGTGCACACACATCCCTCGAAATCTCCCGTACTGTCGGGTTGTGAGCCAAAGACCCTGTGCAGACAAAATGTATTGTCAAACATCAGAGTGTTCCCTGTCATTACTTGTGAACACTTAACACGTTAATTTACGAGCCGCCACTGAAAATAAGTTAATTTGATAAGTGTTAGATAAGTACTCTTAGGGCTTCCAACTGCTCATGCACAACTCCAGCTACTTCAGCAACGGTGTCTTCGAGTCGTTCCAATTGTCCTTTTATTGCTTCCAGAAACTCGCACAAGTTTTGAGGCGATACTTGCCAACCTTGCACTAGAACCTACGGACATTAGCATAAAAACTCAACATACTTAATATATCTATTTAAAATGCAAATTAGAATGGAATTTAAAAAATATTATTGTACCTGCTGAGCTGGTGTGGTAAAGAATGGTGTATGGGCAATCACAGTTACGTATATCTGAGGTTGAAAATAGACTAAAGAACCTGGAATCATAAACTTTAAAAACAATATATTTTAGAAACTTTTATTAAATAATATATTAATAATAATAACAATAATTATATTATATATTGCTAATTTCTCATGCGCATAGAGACTGAAAGAAAACTATGCAGCCTTCGGCCATTTCACTCGTGTTTACGGTTTCGTTAGATATATAGGAAATCGGGAAAAATACAAAAATAATTTAAACATTTTCGATTTGGACCAAAATGATAAATATTTAATTGTCTTATTACGCCTCTCATATTGCGCTTAACAACTGAATTCTGAGGCTAAGTGCGTCACTGCTTACGACAAAGCTGACAGCAAGGCTTCAAGCAAATGGCAGCAAGTAATTACATATTTCCTACTTACGTGTTGCGTTATGGAACAGCAACTTTTTATGTGGTTTTGTTCAGCAGCATTTTTGCTGCAGGTCACTAATAATAATAATAATAATAATAATAATAATAATAATAATAATAATAATAATAATAATAATAATGAACATCACCATCATCAGGGAATGATTTTTCATGTAAATACATATTTTACAGGTACAAGATAATTGACTTCATTAATTCTTTTTAGAATTTGCATGTCATTCCAAATGAATTTTTATTTGATATAATTACACATTTTCACATTTTCCCCTTTCACCATGTACTTCGTTACGTTTTAATAGATTGACGTGTCAAATCGGTACATTTCATATAGGAGCTTGTAAATATTCCTGAAGTCGCATTTTTGTGAAAAATATCAACGTAATACAAAGCTTCTATGACCTTCGCCTTAATTTTCAAACTCATTCCCCTTCACGAAATCAGGGATGAATGGATATTTGTGACGCAGAAGTAATCGCATCCGCCCATTTACTGATGTTTTGGAGAATGTTTTAGTTTGTGTGTGTGTGTGGTGTGCAGTGAGAGAGCAGGAGAAGAGAGTAGAGAGAGAGAGACGAGAGAAGAGAGAGGAGAGGAGGAGAGAGAGAGAGTGGTGCGTGTTGTGTGTGTGTGTGGTGTGCGTGTGTGTGCGTGTGGTTGCGTTGCGTTGTAGTGCGTGGCGTGCGTGCGTGCGTGCGTGTGTGTGTGTGTGTGTGCGCGCGCGCGCGCGCGCGCGCGTGTTACTTGCGATAGGTTGAGCCGGAGGTGTGGGTTGCTATTTTGTTGGCAATACTATAAAATCAAACCTGTAGGTTTTGTTTACAACTGCAAAGAAATTATCTCTCACTTGCGAGTGAAAATTTCTAGGTTTCAAATGTTACTAACCATGCTTTGTTGGTTCTTTTAATAATCACTGAACTACACACAGATTCCAGATTAATTCTCTCCACATCTATTAGATACAGATTTATTGATTTTTTACGAAAATAAATAAAAATTAGTCTCGCACTTTCAAACGTAATGAGAAAGCTTCTTTGAGAAAAGATGCGATTGATACGTGGCACATGTTTTCAATAAACTGAGTTCAATTACACTGTCGGATTTAAGGGGACATGGTCCTTACCCCCCCCCCCCCGACTGACTATGCGGTACGACTGCTCACGTGCGCAGTGGCTCGTCGTAAACATCAGTATACATACTACAGACGTATTTTATATTCTGTTCAAAACTCGTATAGTGTGGTGAATACTAGTGTTCAATTACTTATGTAGATATAGAACATTAGTTCAGCCATTCCAAATTCATTTTAACGCTTGATCGACGACTTCTTTGGGTTCGAAAATTTAAAAAAAAGCTTGTAGGTAGCAAATTTAAACATGATAATGCTTTTTTTATAATATATATTTTCAATTTTTTCTTGAAGTATTGTTTCAATAAAAATAAATACATATACTATATGTACATAATTTGTTTGTCTATTACAATAAATTCAGTTCCCTAAATAATAACAATATTAATAATTCATTCCTTATAACTTTCACAAAAAGCATATTTGTTAAAAATAAATAAAGCCAATTCAAAAAATGTAAATGAAGTTTTCAACACTCACTGGCCTTGTCAAACCATCTAAACTTGCTTTCAATGACAGGAACATTTCATCAATCATAATTTCGCCGTGTTGGATATCCTAAAACAAAATAACATAATAAGGGAACAGTGAAATGCATATTAGAAGAGAAGAGTCAAATAATGAGTCGTGAAAATATACACAATTTGCAGATTTTATAAAATAATAATAACAAATACTAGCTTACAAATATCATCAGAACACTAGGCAAAATGAACCAACATGGCTGCCACCTCGCATACTGAGAATAATCCCAATTACAGTCTTGTAAGGTTAATGAATTCGTACTAAAAATGATGTACACAACTTATACGACAGTGTCTTTGACGAACTCATTTAAAAATGCCAAACTCGGTTCCTACCTCACCTCGTCCGCCAGCATTTCATTCGCAAGCCAAAGGACTCACTTTCTGTACTTGTTTAGTAAAAAACTATTGAAATATGAAAGTTTATTACACTTTCTTTTTCTATTCTAGTACAATATTTCGTAGAGAAATTATAGTAATGGGGTCATCTATAAATTAACGCAAACTTGCTGTATTTTGAATTCATCCTCTGCCCCACAGTCTAATAACACAGTCTAACACAGCTTCGAACGAGTTTGTGGACCTGGCGCAACACTAGCACCTCCAAGCAGCCAGTAAGCTGGTATATTTCTGTTGTTTCCGTTCTTGGTAACATAAGGTTATGTACAGAACTTTTCGAGAGAAGCTAGTTAATGTTCAACTTGCCCAACTTACGAAGATAATAGGAAATATTTAATTGCGAATAATATTGGAGTTAATTATCAAGATTAGGGTCTCATTAATGTACATATGTAGCAAAGGAAAAAGTTAGAAATTGGAGAGTACGAAAATAATTCTGTACACATAGTAATTATCTCCTTTGTTTATTTTTGGGTGAGCTGTAAATATGAATCTTGAATATAGCTTGTATATATTGTTGTGTGTAAGGGAACCTGGAAGGAACCTCCTCGTGGTGTTTTTGGTAACAGTAAATAAACTAACAAATCCTTCCACTGATGTAATTACAAAGACAAAGTTGTGGCACTAAGGTAATTTCTAAAAAATAATAATTGATAATAAATGTAACAAATCCAATACATAAATGTTTTTCTTTATGTATGCGTGTGTGTTTCATGTGCTTGTTCAGTATATAAATCCTCGCTTCTTGTTTATTTGTACAACTGTACATAACTGTTCATCAGAAGAAACCCCAAATATTTATATAATTTCACATTCTGAAGTAAAATCACAAAATATAAAGAAATACCATATGAAACATCAATTATCAGATCTCGCTCAGCCGACCTTGGAAGAAATTCTACAGGACATTAAATGTTATTCTTAAGTTTTTATACTTTTAAGCTTTCATTAATAACAACAAATGATACAATCGGGCTAGAATATGAATTAGGCTTTAAAAATACAATTAGGACGTCGAATTCTCTATCTAGCATTGCATTACGAGGGTGTGACTAGCGTACGGACTACTTTGAGCGCCAGTGATGCTACATCTGTCTGTAGGATCGATTTTCAGCATAGGGAAAATGCACAGAGCTGCGGGACTATTATTAGACTGTCTCTCTCCCTTGTACCGCACTCGTAACGCGCGCTTGAAGCCCCCTTAAATAAACGCGTGCACCCCCCTTGTAAATGCAAGAAGCGAAAATAAATTATAGCAAAGTAAAATCAATTTGTATTCATTTTATTTGTGTTGTATATTAAAATTTACGATAATTTAAGACGGAATAAGTTGGCGATGCTCACTGTACCCAACAGTAAGATTGGGGGCAAGTTGCGAAAGAAAGCAGGACGCAAAGGAGCGACAATTTTTTGCCACAAGCTGTGCACACGCCCTCGTAATGACGCATGAGCGAGGGTCTACCTCCCCAATTTAACAGGATTATAGAATATACTTCATATCAATTTTGAATATTTCCTTCGTAATCTTACAAGTGCAATAAAAAATTGATGAAAAAATATTTCCGTTTATTGTAAGTATTTACATCTAAAACCATTAATTTATTTATATTTTTAAAACAAATTTATTTCCATTTTAGTACAAGACTAAATTAGGAATTATTTCAGCAAATGTTGAACTAGCACCCCGTAACCACGGCCGCTTCCACTAAAGGCAACGTAGCGCGAAGTGTCACGTGGCCCCCACGCGGATGCGTAGTTCTCCACTACCGTCTATGTTTTTTCTTTGTGTGGTTGCAGCATGTGATGATTGCAGTTGCTTATATTTCTAACTTTTGGAGTTAAATTCAGTATTTTTGTGGCGTTCGAGACTCGTGAGACTCAGCTTTGATCCGCGTTGAGGTATATGTGGTGAAAAATATCAGAAAATGGAATTATGTCGCACTTATTGTAATCGTAATGTGTAACTACTGATCTTTGTTTTTAGGTTCGTTCGTGAAGAGAATACTTACATTTTTTATCTGTGTACCACATTGCATTGGTATTTAACACTTTTTGTGGCTTACTTTAATACGACTTAACGTAAGTATTCCCATATTTCCCATTACATATTTCCATTTGTTTATTTCGTCATCCCATGATGGTTGTTGCAGATTCACTGCATGTCTAATATTGAGAGGGGTGTAATTATCGTCTGTCTATTGGACTACATCATGAAGTTGAGATGTCAAGGCTTTATTTTTTAAATAATCTCTCAAGGACTTAATTTGTTAGATATGCAAGTTTGAGAGACTAATAATACCCCGTCCCCCTTTCTTCCTCGCCAGTGTGTCATCCGCTGTGTGCAGCCTCTGTGATGGTGATATCTGAAACGAGTCATTTGCACTCTAATGGATCTTTCCATGGCCTCGATATCTGTGTTGAACTATTTGATGATGTCCATCGAGTATGTAAGCGCTAGTATTGCAAAGGTATTATTAGCCGCTGCGGGGTTTCTTGAATTGAGACGATATTTCGAAATTGTCTTTAGTGGACGTTCAAACTCCATCTTTAGTTCTTTGATTTGTGTGTGGGCTATTGTTAGATTACGTTGTATTCCAAGATATTTTTAGAAGTCGTTTATGTTTATTGCTGTCATGGTCTCTTTCCGTAAGGTTTCATATTTAACATTACCTGTCAATTTGGCCTTTTTCATTCTTTGGATTTTGCATTTGTCAATTCCCGGTTGCATTCCCGTATCGATTGAAAATTTCGTTATTTCCAATAGCTTTTTCAGTCCACGTCTTGATTGTGAGTCCAATTTGAAATCATCCATGTATGCGAGATGTGTTACTTTATATTTTCTCAAGCCTTTTAATTTGAACCCTGATCCATATTTGTCCAGGAGAGTTGAAAGTGGCAAGGCAAAGCCAGTAAGGACTGAAACTGTTGCCGTGGAAAATGCCACGTTTGCTATCCAAAAATCACCCATGAAAATATCAACAGGAGCAGCCACGCATTTCTAGTTATTAGTAATTAAGCAGTAAATGTATGTACGTGTTAATGTATGATAAATGAATTAATCCAGTATCTAAAGGCATTTTTATTAACAATACTACGTGTAGATACAGAAAATTCTAAATTAATACAAGATACGTTGGTTTAATGAAACACTTATAAGAACCATAAATGAATTACTACGGAAAGAGAATTGAACACTACAGAGAAAACTTGGTAGTGGTACAACAGCACATGCTTACTCGCATTATTTGTAACTTCTGAAATTTTCGAAAATTCAGAATTCAACGAACTGCACAATTTATAAACATTCTTTTGCTCCCTCCGAGGACAATTTTCAGACACAAAATTTGGAGCCGTCCTTGATGTTTTTTTAATACATTTCTTTTACTTTGAAGACGGCGACTTTTGTGTTCAATAATTCAAACATCTTGTACGAAGCAAATGTAAATACAAGCATTTTTTAAACATTTTTACATATTTTCAATTTTTTACAACAAAATTTTGAATAATTTTGCTTGAGGAAAAATTACCCAGAAACTGCTAGTTTCTTTATAAAAAAAATTTACATGATCTTACTTAAAGATCTATTTTTATAACGGATTTCATTAAGGAAAATATCTCTATAATCAATATCGCAGTTTTGCTATGTTAAGTTTTGCAATTTTAGAAAACCCAGAGAGCGACGAAAAAAGGGCCTAAATCTTTTTAAGCTTCCTTTGCTCTATGGAGGAAAGTACTGGGAATTAATTTAAAGAAATAACTAGTCTTTTATATTTTTAAAAAAATTGTTTAAAAATTTCCTGTAAAATATAACTGCTTTCTCAAAGGCCAATTTCTGCTAATCCACTAAAATGTCAAATACATGTTCAGAAATATCACGACGAGTTTTATCGACAAGGAGCGATTTTCTCATGTATCTTTGGCATTTCATGAGGAAAACGCCGTACGTCTATTTTATACATAGGTTAATCACTTTTCAGCCTCACGTTTGACAATTAGTTTTAATTTTCTGAAGCAAGGTATCCAATCACTTGTGTTAACATTTTCAATTGCGTTTAGGATACTGTAGATTTTAGTGAGTCTGTAAAGATAGAACCCCCACTTATCACAAAATAAAAAAAGAATATCCCAGAATTGTTTACTAATTAACAACTAATTTACACCAAAAGTTAAAAAATTTGAACCGAACAAGAACTTCAAAATATACCACGTTTATTACTGGCTGGGCTAACTTAAGACAGCACCAAGGAAAACACATGAAACAAAAGAACTAAAAGTACCAGAATTGTGTACTAATTAAATGCCACATTCCCACCTACATAGTAACTAAAACACCTTTCCATATATATATATANNTATATATATATATATAGAGAGAGAGAGAGAGAGAGAGAGAGAGAGAGAGAGAGAGATGTATCGAAAAAATAGAATTCAATGGGTTCGCGAAAAACAAAAATGTTTTTCGATGCAGAAAGAACACAGTCATCAATAAAACCGTTTTTAAAATCGGTTTAGGGGTGCCACAAACCCCATAAACACCCCATTCTTTGTCCTTTTCGCTTCTTTTGCGAAAATAACGAATACATTTTATGCAATGGAACTTATATTAACGGATTTTTATCTGATATGGTACTGTTATCCGACAACATTTTTATGACCAACAAACATTACGTATTTGACTAAATCAGTATGCAACATAAGTGCAAATATAGCCAATTTTCCGTAAAAAAATAGAAATAGACTTTTTCAAATACTAATAACTCCGTAAATATTTATCAAAAATAGTTTTAATTTAGATAAGATTAAAGCTTGAAATCTCTACTTCAAAAACCTGGATTCGCACAATTTAACTCTTTTTCTGCAATCGGCTAAAATTGTGCCGGGTGCCATCACTGTTAACAAGCCAGACATGCATATGAATGATTAGACAGTGAAACTTACCACAGCTGAAAGAGATGGGCTCATATCCAGACAATAAACTATTCTATACTTATGACCAAGAAACATTAATGAGGTGTGAGACGTTATGAGATATTTGTACAAATGACTAGTTTCAACTTTCCAATGTAATGGAGGTTGGTTGGGAATCACAGAAATAACAGTCAATTCTTCTTTGCAATTATCCTGCAACAGAAAACACACAACATAAATAAATAGATAATCCTATGTGCGAATGTTTACAAGTTATCAAATAATTATCTAGTGACAGAAACAGGCACAAAACTGAAGCGTATGTAAGCACAATGTTTCTTATGAAAACAAAAAAATGGCTTAGCCTAATTAAATGACCAATGGATGACAAGGCATGTGCATTTAATCAAATTAGCGTAAAGTATTAAATCTAATACAATATTGTAATTTTCGCACCAACTGTTTACTTAAATATATCTTAAATACATTCAATATTACTAATAATGATTAATTATAATTAATATAAATTATGTTATGCCGCGAAAACAATGAAAAGGATAAAGAAAAAACCTTTTGCAGATTTGATATCTTTCGACAAGGAATTTGAAAACCAGAGGAGCTCAACAGCACGTACTTTCTCGCATTATTTCTAACTTTTGGAATTTTCTGAAATTCAAAGTTCAATGAGAATGAGACCTGCCAAATTCTATTCAACGACTCCTGTTCTAATCGTGGCATAAAATTAAACACAAATTTTTGAGCGGTTTTTGAGAATTGTTTTACTAATTCGCATTAACTATAAGCAGAAATTAAGCGAAAACCACTCGTTTTTTTCACAGACGGGTACATGACCTTTTTAAAGTCCCGAGGTTTTAGAATCTTTCATTATGCACGAGTAAAATCTACCCCAGGATAGTGGAGAAAGATCTAGAGGAGGAGCAGGGGCTTTTAGACCGTATAGATACATCACACACCCACACATATATACCATAAAGACCAATATAGTGAAAATAATAAGTAGAGGGAAAATCACATATGCTGCTTTCATAGAACTGAAGTCAGTGTTTGATACATTACCTAGGAAAGAAACATATATGGTCAGCACTTTATAAGGCAAAAGTTCCAAACAAACTGGTATGTAGGTAGTTACTGATAGGTAGTTAAAAGCATACATAAAAAATTATATGCCACTGTGAGATTAGGTAGCCTACATAGCGAGAAATTTAAAATCAACGAAGATGTGAAACAAGGGGATTCCCCAAGCCCACTATTATTTATTGCATTCATTAATTAAATAATTAAACAGATCAAAAGCGTACTAAGAAATGTTTGGAAGGAAATAAGCGGATGAGGCCGGTAGTCACTGATTTACGCATATGATATACTGCTCATTGCAAAAAATCCAGGGGAACTACACGAGATGGTCAGGGAGTAGGGACACACGTCGGAAGACAGGGGAAGGAAAATGAATACCAGCGAGATTAAAATAATGTGTGCATGCAATAAAAGAAAGGAAATGAGTACCAAGTCTACCAAGCAATACAAAAACAGAAAGTAGAATAACAGCTACAGAAATGAAGTTCCTACGCAGTATAGTGGGCAAAATTAGAAGAGACAGAATAAGAATTAGTACTATCAGGGATGAACTAATAGTCACACCACTTGAGAAAACTACTAAAAATAATGCGCTAAAATGGTTCGGACATCTGAATAGAATGAAACAGGACAAGAAACCGAAGCAGATATTTGAGACAAGGCCAGAAGGGAAAAGACTTTCTGGAAGACCCAGAGGAAATTGGGAAGGTTATATAACAATGTCTGTCATAGGCAAAGTTGGGTGTATCGAAAATACGTGTACATAAAATACGTATTTTCGATACCTTTGTAATTTGTATTTTGTATCGAAAATACCTATTTGAACATTTATTTTGTATTTGTATCGAAAATATTTTATGATAGTATTTTGTATTTTTAAAATACAAAAATTATTTTTATTGATTCGCCGTTCAAAATTTGAATTTAAATATACAGTTAAATGCAGAAAACATGAAATTTTGATATTTGCAAGCAATTTTTTATTCACTGCAGCTGTATTTAAAAGAACGTTCAAACTTTTGGCTAGTCGAAGAAATTTATTTCAATTAATGTTTTTTCTTTACACATTCTAGAGAATTCATCGTAGTCTGATGGATGAATTTAAAAACTTTAAAAAATGAGTGGTCCAGAAGATCAAACTAACATAGGAGGAAAATGAACAGCACTGAGAACAGTGATACTAATACCAAGATGTTAAAATAAACGAGCTGAAGATCTGGTTTCTTTAGTTCGCAGGAAGAAAGAAACAAAATCTGATGATCTTGATACAAAATACAATGTTAATGGAATGAGAGCCTTATCAAGAAACATTAGTGATACAATGTTTGAAAAACTAGTAATGTTGAAGGCAATCTTGTCCAATTGTATACTATTGTAAACCAAATTCAAGTTTTGAGAAATAATTAGTGAATCTGGATCACTTTTGGTTGTATTTTGAGATGCGCCTTTAATTAAGATGATAATTAAGATTTAACGTCGCTTCAACAGCTAAGGTCATTGGTGCCCATGTCAAATTATTTTAAAAGCAGCACGCACTGGGGCAGTGCCGAATTGAAGCACTTTTAAATACAAAGTAAAATGTGAGTAAAATTGAAAATGTACATGTACTATTATAAAAGGGTTTGGCAGAGAAGAACCAGATAAACACTTTAAAATCTTCAACTAAAAGCCAAATAATTGGCATAATCCTCGCCTCTCAGATAATGCTATATATGTCGGCCTCTGGTAAAAAGCTAAAGAGCTCTCAGAGAGAATATTCGTTTCCAAGTACAACTGCAAGAGAGCTAGCAAGGTGATGCCTTCGGCGGCTCTCACTTGCCTTAGAACAGTGCAGGAGAGCATGCTCCACGGTGAGATCCGTTTCGCAACTATCGCAAGTAGGGGGTGGGTCACCACGGAAATGTCTTTGGGAGAAATGGCAGTGAGCGATCCGAAGGCGTGTCGGAACAATCTCCTCGCGCTTAGAGTCACGAGATGAGGAAGACAAAGGCTTTATGGAATCCTTGATTCTCATGAGCTTAAAATCAGAGTCCTGCCACTGTTTACCATGCACTGAGAATAGTGTGTTTGATAAACAGTTTGGTATCATTTGTTGGGACTGTGAGGATGTCTACCTCAGTTTTCTTCGTGGCGAGCTTTGCTGCTTGGTCAGCAATTTCGTTTCCTATTATCCCAACGTGTCCAGGGATCGAACAAAAAATAAATTATAACAACACACTAATAAATGATGAATTTAGCGTTGTATGTTCGTTGCCAGAGGATCACAAAAAGAGAAGCAAGAGATGGATTCGAGCGAGCCTTCTGAATCACTGCAGATTAATGCTTCTTTTAATGTCATCGACTCGGCGAACATAAGTGCCTCCAAGAGCGCATATTTCTCTGCAGTATAAACGCTGCAGGAAGAGTTAATACGAAGACTCCGCGTGGCATTATAGTAGTAGAAGGCACATCCTACTTTACCATTTTGGGAGGAACCATCAGTGTATATGAAGTTGTAGCCGGGAGGCATGTATTTCGACTCCTGATATTCCGCAAGAAATGTGGTGGAGGGAGGTGAGGATTTGGGGAAATGGGGAAGTTTGATAATCTCAAGTTTATTTTAGGCTGGAGAAGTTTTCAAGGAGGAACAAAACTTCGGGCGGGGGGGAGGGTCACAGGGATGGGGAATTTTATGTTGTTTCTGCAAAAGCATGTGAAGACTGATACCCGGAGGATAGGGTAACGATGGTCTGAGTCTCTACGTCCTGTGACTTGGGTGAAGAACTGCTTGGCGCGAAAGAGTATTTATAGCACATATTTGCCGGCCATAGGATCCCATTACAATATCTCGCCTTCGGTTCAGGGATGGTTCACCAGCCTCGGTCAAGAGGCACTCAATGCGACGCGTGCGGTAGGCGCCTTTGCTGATCCGTATTCCGGCATTGTGTATGGTATTCAATAGCCGGAGGGTCGATGGAGAGCTGACCCACAAACAATACATCTATAATCTAAGATAGAACGGATGGCCCTATATAGGTGCAAGAGACATTCTCTTGAAAAAATGCGAAGGAGGTTCAATGGTGATACATATCGGCTCAAAGTTTTGAATATGCTTTCGCCATGTTAAACTCTTGTTGAACGTTAGGCCAAGGGAAGTTGGGATTCGTCAAAGAGAAATTTATGACCCCCAAGAAAAAGATCAAGATCGTTAAGGAGATGATGAATCCTGCAGAAATGTATGCAAGTGGTTTTTGAGGTGGCGAACTTGAACCCTGCTTCATTGCTCCATTCCTGCAATTTGTTGAGGACAAGTTGTAACTGCTCAATCACTACCCTATCACCAAGGCGGACACGAAAGTATCTTGACGAAAGAAAGGCTACTTTTTAGTAGTCTTTGGGGCAACCGGCCCCAAAGACTCAAGTGTGTATGGTGTAATGTTCGCCGAAATTAGGACTAGCACCACCTTTTTTCCGTCCTTTGATACACACGAGGAGAAAATTTGAAGAAATCATTGGAGCCGTTTTAGAGAGAATTGTTTAAGAATTGACTATGGTTCATAGAAAATTACGCAGGAAACTATTACTCATATTTTCAAAAAAGGTGTAACCAGAAAAAATTGAACTTGTGAAATTTTCGAAAAATAAGGGATTTTAAGGAAAATTAGACCTGCTCCATTCTTTTAAGCTTCGTTTACGCTATTCAAGAAGAAAGTTAAAAGAAAAAATGGAGCCATTTTTTAGAACATTTTCACATTGATTCTTTATGTAATGAACCTAAAAAAATGAAGATTCCATTTAACTCGTATGGTCTCGTGTACTTTCAGATCGATCGAGGAATATCAATTTTGGAGTCTCAACGGTTTAGCCGTTTGCGTTGTCCAGGGACGGACAAAAATAGAAAGACACGCACAGACGGAGAGAAGACGTTTTGCTGTCAATCAATTTTTCCGGTTCAAGGACCCCCAAAGCAGGAATTCTGTATACACGTGTTAGAAGAAGTAATTTTCTACATATAGGAACAAAATTTATCCTCTTTTTCGTTACCAGAGCCCGGCAAGAAGAGTTTCGGTCAAAAAATCGCTCTTTTCCGACTCATGATTTGTATACTTTCTCTTCGAACGAAGGCGAAAAAGGAATAT